GTGTCCCTTCCCCAGGATAGAAAGCTCTCATCCTCCCTCTTGAGCCGAGAGGCAAGGCGCAGGCCCCCTAGTCTTCTGATCCTCAGAGGAGAGGGCTAGAGGAGTCACTTGGGGTCACTGTGTGATCCTAAGGTAGCCCAGTGGGGTATTGGGTCCCAACCCTGTTTCCTTTCTCCCCAGGGGAGTTTGGGGAAGTTTATCAAGGGATCCTGAGCCTCCCCCGCCAAGACTGTAAGACTGTGGCCATTAAGACCCTGAAAGACACGTCCCCAGATGGCCAGTGGTGGAACTTCCTTCGCGAGGCCACCATCATGGGCCAGTTCAACCATCCCCACATTCTGCACCTGGAAGGCGTCATCACAAAGAGTACGAGCAGTGCTTTCTATGAGCTGGGGGTCGGAGGGAGAGTACAAGGGAAGGAGGGTGAGCCCACCCACCGGAAGTGGAGGGTGTGTGTGGCAAGGGCAGGAGGAGTGATGGCATGCACTCTGCATCCCAGGAAAGCCCATCATGATAATCACAGAGTTCATGGAGAACGGAGCCCTGGATGCCTTCCTGAAGGTAAGGAGCACAGAGGACCAGCTGGGGAGAGGGATGTGCCGTGGAGCCCCGAACCTTGGGAAGAGGAGAGAGACCTGTCCATCCTCTGACTCACTCGCCCACGCTGCTGTAGGATCGGGAAGACCAGCTGGCCCCTGCGCAGCTGGTGGCCATGCTACATGGCATAGCATCCGGCATGAACTACCTCAGTGACCACAATTACGTCCACCGGGACCTGGCTGCCAGGAACATCTTGGTGAATCAGAACTTGTGCTGTAAGGTGTCTGACTTTGGCCTGACTCGCCTTTTAGATGACTTTGGTGGCACCTATGAAACTCAGGTTAGAGCCCCGTATATGCCCCGTTCACATGCTTCATTGCGTGCCATTCCTAGTTCCACAGTACACGGGGACTCATGTTGTACAGGCACAATAACCTTCCCTCCCCTGCCCACAATAACGTCCCCTATCTATGCCTCATGCATGTCACTTGTCCACCCTGTGCCTTTGTAGGGGGGCAAGATTCCCATCCGTTGGACAGCCCCTGAGGCCATTGCCCAGCGGATCTTCACCACAGCCAGTGACGTGTGGAGCTTTGGGATTGTGATGTGGGAGGTGCTGAGCTTTGGGGACAAGCCGTATGGGGATATGAGCAATCAGGAGGTAAGTTGGGAATATCCCTCCCCATCGCATCGCTGACTCAAGCCTCATCTCCTCCCACATCCAACCCATGTTCGTTTTCCACAGATAATCCTATTTCCTACTGGCCCGCTTTTTGGACTCCGACATCCTCACGCTCGGTTCTCTTTGCCTTGCCCACCCTGGTCAGGGTTGTTTCAGAGGCTCCCTGGCAATGACTTTGTGTGAATGTTGTTTACTTCTGGGCTTCCAAGTGGGCTTCTGACCCTAGGGCACCCCTTCCCCCTGCAGGTAATGAAAAGTATCGAGGACGGGTACCGGCTGCCCCCTCCCGTGGACTGCCCTGCCCCTCTGTATGAACTTATGAAGGACTGCTGGGCATACGAACGCACTCGTCGGCCCACCTTCGCCCAGCTGCAGGGACATCTGGAGAAATTGCTTGCCGACCCCTACTCCTTGAGGACCATTGCCAACTTTGATCCCAGGTTGCCCTGCTGTGGGGGGACAGGGAAGGTCAGAGGTCAGATCTGGAAGCACACTGAGAGTGTCTGTGGAGAATTTTGTGAACTGCAACTTAAAGCAGCCAGTTCAGGATTACCCACATTGCAGAAAATTACAGCCAGACCCCAATCCACTAATCAACCTAGGACTTGTCCTGCAGCCGTTGCACTGTATGTATTATGGCCAGAGCCACACTTTTCCTGGGGAGATTTTTGGCCCAGTCTGGGACTTGGGATGCATCCCCTCCTCCATGGAAATATTCCTTCCTGTGGAGCAGAGGTTCATCTGTTCAACAAATCTAGACTGCCCACTGGTGCGATCTCTGCACGGGACTCTGCAGCTACGGCAAGGTTGCAGTCTGGCACCTGCTCCAGGGCGCATAAGCAGCGAGGTTGAGGTGGGGACCGTAGGGGCCTACCCCAGCCTTGGTGGCCCGGAGAAGCCCCTCCCAGCGCATGGCCAGTTGGGGAGCCAAGGGCTGGCAGACTACAGAAGCTGCAGGATGAGGGAAGCATCCAGTCTAGGCTAAAGCTCGGGAAACACAGAAAAGCACTTCTCAGACTGGACTTCCCATGTGCAGGGAACTGTCAACCAGTTTCTGAGAACTATCCCTGGGAGGGCAAGATTATGGTCACAGTTGCATTTCACCAAAAACAGCCAAAATGGTGAGCCTGAGGCAGGAACAAGAAAGGCAGGGAAGCCGGGCGAGGAAGGCTCTGTTTCAAGTGTTTGACCGGGTAAACCAGCCAGGCTTCCTGGCCGCAGTACCAAACCACCATATATAACCTTGTCTGGGAGAAAACATGCTCCAAGTTCCAACTTCTGCAACTATCTTTTGGAGCACAACTCCCTCATACGCTGGAGACTGCATGTGCTAATCTTTCTGGAATGTTGGATATTTTCCCCCCAGTAGATTTACTTTGCTAATGGTTTTTGGCTCTGGCTGGCTTTAGTACAGGAACACTCATTGTGTTGCGGGTGTCCACATACAATAACAGCGGAGGCTGAAGGTGGCAAGTGGGGGCTGCTCCCAGGACTCAGGGGCCACCCTGGGAAGGGCAGGACCGCACCCAGCCGCAGGGCCTCTGCCTCCTGCCTTCAGCATCCTCTCTGGTGGGCTGGGATCCACTTCCGTTGGGGAGTCCCAGGGCAGCCACCTTCCCTAGATCTGTCAACACTGTGGGACTGTCAGCAGTTGTTAAGCACACCAGGAAACCGGCCAGGAAGTGGGTCCAGACAATGGCCGGCTCATTCCACAAGCTCCCTGCTGGGTATCCAGCCTCAGTGCCCACTGCTGATGTCAAGGCCAAAGCCAGCCAGCCCTGCGTCTGCAGATAACCGACACACCCTCCCGTCCCACAGGGTGACTCTGCGGCTGCCCAGCCTAAGCGGCTCCGATGGAATCCCCTATCGAAGTGTCTCTGAGTGGCTCGAGTCCATCCGCATGAAGCGATATATTCTGCACTTCCGCTCAGCAGGGCTGGACACCATGGAGTGTGTGCTGGAGCTGACAGCTGAGTGCGGACCTGGAGCTGGGGTGTCTGGGTAAGAGCGGGTCTGGCGTCCGAGCCTCTAGACTCAAAAGCCTCCCTTCCTTTCTACAGGGACCTGACGCAGATGGGAATCACTCTGCCCGGGCACCAGAAGCGCATTCTTTGCAGTATTCAAGGATTTAAGGACTGAGGGTCCTACCAGGGAGCAAGAGCAGGGCCACGGTCACTCCGGGCCCTCCCTCAACCTACAAGATGTAGGCGACTGGTGCTGCCCCTGCCTACTGTTCCAGAGCTGTGCCTCTGGGCCCAGGAGGGAGCCTGTGTTTTCGAAAGGGAGTGGGTGTACGTCAAGATGATTGTGGGCAGGTGGGCCCTGGGGATGATTTAATATATATACATACATATATATTTTTGTAAATAAACAGAAACTGAGTTTTCATCCCTACCCCTGATCATTTTATCCCTCCCTCCTCCAGGGGCGGCAGACACACAGTGAGCCAACTATGGAAAGTTCTGGAAAACAAGGTTTTTTTAATCTGTAGCTGTAGCCACAACCCGGCAGCGTGGGCAGGGTGGGTGTCCAGGCTCCCGGAGGGTCAGGGCATCTCCCGACCCTCAGCAAGCGGAGTACGGGGGCTGCTCAGGGGCCAGCCAAGGGCGTTGTCGTGCAGTGTAAGCAGCAGCACTAAACTGGTGCCCCTCGGGTGGGGACCCGGAGGACAGCGGGCAGGTGAGCCCTGCAGGCCGGGTGGGCGGTGCTGGGGCCCTGGGTCGGGCACTTGAGATACCAGGGAGGGGTTTGGAATGGAGGAAGGCAGGGCGGGTAGAGACGAGGATGGGTCTCAGTGTGGGTGGTGGAGAGGACCTGTGGTCTGGAAGGAGCTCTCACTCAGGTCTGGGCCCTGGCTCTGTGGCAATTCCGACAAAGCACGTGGCCGTCCAGGGGAAAGCAGCCGTTGTCGTCCGCCTCGATAGACAAGGGCTTCCCGCAGTCCTGGGAGAAGGAAGGGTGAGAGGATCACTGGCCCAGAAGGTCCCTGTTCTTCCCTTCTGTCCCGGGGTTCCATCTTTGAGTTACCAAGACCACTCGCTCCCTAGGGCTCAGAGCTGGTGCCCTGGTCACGCTTGTTCCCGCCCTCTGGCCAGTCCCTTAGTTTGTCTAAGTGACCACCCCAGGAGCCAGAGGGACAGCTGACCTCACACTTGTAACACTTCATGTGGAAGTTCTTGTCCAGAGCGACCACTCGCACGGTCTCGTCACGGCCAGGCTCCGGCATGATGGGCTCCGCGCAGACAGAGCACCGCGGGGCGTACTGCCTGGGGGTGCAAGAGCAGGACGTGCGGTCAGAGGCACCTCAAGCCTCTCCCCTCTGGAGAGCTCAGGGTAATGAAGCTGAGGCTGTCCATCCACGCGGCAGACCTCACATCCCACACATCCAAGTAGAGGAAGCTCAGGAGAAAGCGCTACAGCCGGCCTTACAGGGAACGTCCTGCCTCTCCACCCACCTTCCCAATGCTCCACCTCTCACACCCAAGAGGTCCCACCTGCCCTACCCCCCTTGCAGGTCCTTCTGCCCGCACCCGCAGGCAGTGCACAGGGAGGTGCAGCCCATGCCATCTCAGGCGCAAACCTAAAAACATAGCCCCAAGATGCACCATCCAAGGTAGGGCGCAGATTTTGCAGTTTTCCTAGCCCACCCTTTAGCTGTAAGTTCTCACTCGGACTGAGAACCTGGCAGCCCTACAAGCTTTATATTGCTTTTAGCGAGAAACTTGTGCCCCAGAAGGCTGAGCTCCAAAGGAACTGTAGAACCAGCCCGCTTCTGAAACAAAGTCATTCTAGCTCATGCCACAGGGCACCGGACACACCCAAAGGAGCCTCAGCAAGGAGCCAAGGGCTGCAGGGAGCACAGGACCACCCAGGTCTAGGGCCACCACACAACTAAGTCCAGAGGAGTCCTTCCCTGCAGTCACAGGCAGGATGTGGGGCCAGGAAGCAAGACCAAGGGTCCGGGACTGTCCAGGCCTAGCAGCAGGGGGCCTGCTCTAGACAAAGCACTGATGGAAGGCGGAGAAAAGCCCCGGAAGCCCTCACTTGTGGTAGTCAGGGACGCAGTGGGGCCTGTTGGCCTGGTCCACGATGAAGGAGGTGCCCTCCAGGGGGCAGGCGCAGATCACGCAAGTGAAGCAATGCGGATGGTAGGCTTTGCCCGTGGCTCTCAGCATGCGGTCCGTGATGGGCTGCCCACAGGTGTGGCACTTTTCCAAGGTATCCTGCGGAGGTGGCAACAACACGCTGGTCGGAATCTGGACCCCGAGGGCCGGTTTCTGAGGTTCACCACCCCATCCCCACTGGGTGCCGCACCCCAGCTACTCACAGTGTAGCAGCTCTCACAGTATGGCGCCCCCTCCAGGCTGTAGAACTGCTGTCCCTGCAGCTGCTGCTCACACTGGTGGCAGGTAAAGCAGGTGATATGGAACAGCTGCCCTAAGGCTCGGACTGCAGGCTGCGCGCGTGCCAGCGGCTGATGGCACCGGCCACAGGATTCTGGGAAGGCCACAGAAGATCGCCATCAACAGGAGGAAGAGCTCTGGGGCTCAGGCCCCAGGCAACCCTTAACAAAGAGGACAGCGTCTCCTGAGGCAGGTGGGAGACTCACCGTTCACGGCCATGTTCTCGGCCATGTTCTGCCTCTGAGGATGTTCCATGTCCTGCATCAGCTTCTGAGTCAGCTCTTCCAGCTGCTCTACTTCCTTCAGGGTCAGAGGGGCCGGAGCCCCAGGAGAGCGCACCTGAAACCCCAACACTTTCATACTCTCCAAGGTCACGCCCTCCAAGACCCTCCCAGGCCAGCCGACCAGACCCCCTTCTTCCATGAAGACTCAGCTCCTGCCTGCTCCTGTTTCCTAGGTGCTCAGCTTCCAGCGCTTCCTTCTCCCGCCCTGCCCAACCCCCACCACATAACCGTGGGGCAGGGGTGATCTTAGCCTGCATCCCCTACAGAGCAAAAGAGAGAGCGTGAGGACAGAGATCTGCGCCTGCTTCACCCCAACCCAGGCCACCTCCCCCCACCCCCACACCAGCAGTCACAGACAGGCCAGAACGACTGTGCAACGGAGGCCACGCACGCAGCAGCAGCTCGGGTCACTGAAGCCACCAAACACGCCAGGGCCACAAACCGACGTCACAGAGCATGCTCAGACACAGCCCCCCCAGAAGTGGGGTTGCAATGGGTGCACACGCGTGCACACACACCTACCCGGCCCGCCTGCTGCTGAGCAGCGCCTGTCAGCATGAGGATGCAACACAGGCAGAAGCACAGGTTAAACTCAGAGCTGTCTGCAGGAGCCCAGCCCAGCCCCCAGAAGCTCTCCTGAGCGAGAGCTTCTGGTCTACCCAACTCCAGTGCCTAAGCCAGCCCATCCGCATTTAGGGGACCCTGAGTGTAGAGACTGGGACTGGAGAGAGGGCGGAGGTTAGGGACCAGACACTGCTGTAACTTGAGAACTTTCCCTGCACTTACTTGCACAGGGAACACTGGGTGGGTCTTCTCCACTAGGAGACAAGGCCACCCAGGATGATGACCTTAACACTTGGGTACTGTCCAGCCAAAGCCATCATTCCTTCAACACCTTGGACCTCCAAAGCCTCCTGCTACCTCCTGCCATGCCACCAGCCCCTCTCAAACCCTCTACCCCTTCCCCAGATGCTCTGCTCTGAGCAGCTCAGGTCCCTCAGGTCTCCACGCTGTCCCGGAAGGCTTCTGCCATCTGCGAGCTTTAACTGACCGGAGCTCCTGAACATAAACCTCACCATCTCCCCCCCACCCACCCCACTCCCACTCCCACCAGGCTTCTCTGCTGGAATCTGGGGTCAGGGAAGGGCACTCACCAGGCCCTTGCTCTCCAGGGCCACTGAAAATGGCTGTTCGTTCTTTGAATGGATGAACTATCCTTGTGTACCCGCCCCCCCACGAAGGGCATCCATGTCCTTCAGGATACTGTCAGCCACTGGGTCCTCCCTGCCTGCTGACAGCTGTGTCATTGCTGCTGCAGCCACGAGACTGGGACTTCCAGCTCCTCAATTCTCGTGGCTCCCAACTTCTCTCCTGGAGCCACCTTGGACCTAAGGTTCACCCTCGTTGCCCCCAACCACCCCCTCAAGTCCTCTGCGTGACTCATGCCCGCCGAGTGACGTAGCAGAAGAGTTTCAGGGACCCTGACTCCCTGCCTGCCTCGTGCGCCTTGTCCATGAAGCTCCCGGGCTGGCCCTTGGTTGGTTATATCCGCAAGGCTCCCACTGTCACTCCTGCCACCTTGGCTATCTGGCCTGCTCTGCAACCCCGGGTCACACCCCTGCCTGCTTCCTGTTTCTGCCTCCAAGCTGCAGAAAGTAGGTGGAGGAAATCACCCGGCACTGCAGAGTTTGCACAAAGCACCGCAGCGCCCTCCGCACCTCCAGCCCTGCCTGGCTGTCTGGTATTTGGCTGCGGTGGCAGATTCCCAGTTGCCTTCCCACAGCAGCTGTTCCAAACCTTTCCCATCTCTCTGAGGCCCCAACAGCTTCGCCCCCTCATGCTCACCGATGACTTCACCCCTCTGTGACGGCAAGGATGGCAGGCAGCCAGTGTAAGCTCCCGCCTCATCCTTCCCATGCACACCTCCAGGGTGACCCTGTCCCCACTCTCTGGAACACTTCTGGGGTCAGACAGTCCCTGCTCTTGGCCCCGCAATCCCTGCCCCACAAGGTTCTGTCTGTCTTCTGCTTCCTGTGCTCCCAGGCTCCTAAACTGAACATTACACACACATGCGCGCGCGCGCACACACACACACACACACACACACGTAATCAGAGTCCATCCCTTACTGCTGCCAATCTTTGAAACAAGGTTACAGCACCAAGTCTGTTCTCACCACCCACTCAACCCCTCAGCTCTACACTCTGCTCCCACACAGGGCACAAATGGGCCACCTCCTGACCATCTACTCAGGTCTCTGGCCTTATCCGTATCCTCCCACTCCTCAAACCCACAGCTAAAGGTCTCCTCAGGACTGCACCCCGTTCTCCCCCGCCCCCTCAGGCCCTTCTCCCACTCCTCTGCTGGACTTCTTTAACCTCCCGCCTAACCCAAGTGATGGCTGGACCCAAGTTCCTCCCAGGCCCTCAGGCTCCCCTCTGCATGGCCTCAGGAAGCTTGCCAGGTCCTACTGCCTCAGTGTCCCTGCACCGGCCACCACGGGAACTTCTCTCCTTTGGGGCCGCTCCTGAATCCCAGCCCCACATTCCCCGCTGAATGACAGTTCCAGCTGAAAGCAAATGCCCTTGGAACCTCTTGCTCAACATACTGACAGCTGGACCCCTCCTCTTTCCGTCCAAACCATTTCCCCTCCTGGACTTCTCCATTTTCTCCCCACCCACACCCAGGCTCTGAACATCCAGGGTCTTTTTCTTCCTCCCTCCTCCTCCAACTGCTTATCAGTTGCCTCCTCCTCTGGGCCCTTCCTTTGTTAACAGCTCTCATCCCCGGGTCTTAGCTTTCATTGCAAGTAACGTTACTATGGCCTGGAAGTGAACTCACACACATCGCCGACCTCCCAGCCTGTAACACACATCTCTGCCGGACAAATGGTCCAGAAAGGTTCCAAAAGCCCTCCTGACCCAGCCACACGCTACTCAAAACTCATTCATGATCCTGCAGTATGCACAAGCTCTGTGTGGATTTCACTTCCTGCTCCCTCAAGCTCCGGCCAACCTAAGCACAGCTCTGTAATTTTCCCACAGAGCCTTGCAGCTTTCCGTTCTCCAAACACCCCCAGTACACATGCGCCCTTGAGTTTCACACACCCTAACCCTAGCTCTAACCCGCACGCTATTCCCATCAAAAATACCGTTCCCTCTCCTCTCTGGATTCTTAGTTTTGCCCATCCTTCAAGGCACACCAGCCTTTACTAACTTGCCAGTTCCCAAGCCGGCTCCCTGTTCTCAGTTCCTGTAATTCACAAGATGCTGAGTTACAGGAACTGGCACTTGGCACTTCTTCTTACACACAAACATTCTACGCACACAGACACATTCACAGTATCAGCTGGGCTGTACAGACAGTTAGACCACAAGGCCATTCGGGTCTCTTCAACTCAAAGACCTTGTCTCCTGAATGAGATGTCAAGAAACCATTTCGGTTTGCTTGTTTCTATTTTGAGCGTTTATGTGCTAGGAGAAAACCTAGCACTTTCTAAGCATTAGCTCACTCGCTCTTTATAACCACTGTATGGGGCAGACAGCGCTATTTCAAGGGGAGAGAAATTGAGGCTCAAAGTGCAGCTAATCTGCCTGGGTTTTAACAGCCTCTGCAGAGCTGAGCTGGGAATTCTATCCCGGGTCCACAGACTCCCGAAGCCTGAGCCTCTCTGACAGATCTCTTCCCTCTGTTGTCCCTGTCCAAGGAGCACAGGGCACAGAGCACAGAGCTGGCACTCAGCTGGTGCTGGCTTAGCCAGTGTTTACTGGGGCTGCAGCTATTATCTCCAGTTGGGCCTCGGGTGCTGAAAGCGCTCAGAGAAACTGAGAGATTAACTCAAAGCCCAAGAATGGGAAAAACCAAGGCTGGCCTGGTGATCTCATCCTCCCCTGTAACATTCTGGGACAAAGGTACAGGGAAGGTTGATGGAAGCCTGCAAATCCAGAGCCCTGGCTGCTCTGCCCTGTGACCCGGCTGCGCCCAGCACCCGATCCAGCCAGGCTCACCTCCGGAAAGAGCTTCTGCTGGGCTTGCTCCCCCCAACCTAACCCCACAGGGTGAAAATTCCTAACCTGCCATAGCCATCCAGCCTCCAGGTCACCTTCACCTTTTCCTCCGCTCCTGGCTGAGCCCGACCCCAAGCCCTGGTCTCAGCGTCATCCTCCCTCCTCACCTGGCTTTGGTTTTGGGTCAGATGGGGCGCTGGGTGCTGCTTCTCCTGAACTTGGGGCTTCTCCCTCTGCTGCACATAGGTGAAGCCAGGGGGCTGAGGGGAGCCTGTGCCAGTGGCTGAGGGAGCTTCGGGAGACCCCAGTTTTTGATTGGGCTGCGACCCAGGTCCACCTGGGGCTCCCGGGCTGAACTTGGAAGCCACAGGAGTAAACTTGGATGACACTGGAGAGAACTTAGGAGCTGGAGCGGGAGCCGCAGCCTGAGGACCCCGGGGCTGGGTGTTAGCAGAAGGCACAGGCTGGGCCTGGGGCTGGGCCTGGGGCTTGGCCTGGGGCTGGACGTGGAACTGGACCTGGGGCTTGGGATGGGACGGGACATGGAACGGTATCTGGCTCTGAGGCTGAGTCTGGGGTGCAGGCGGGGCTTTGGCCGGCGCTCCTTTCCAAGGAGGCAGGGGTGCTGTGCCCCCAGCTGCAGGCTTAGGGCTGGGCTTGGGAACAACAACAGGCGGGGGCACATATCCAGAGGACACCTGGAGGAGGAGGAGGTGGGAGAGAGAAGTGCAGTTAGAGGCAGCAGTCTCCATGGTGCTACCCTCTGGGCTGGGCACTTCCTGCAGACCTGTCCCTTACCCGGGCTTTGAAGGGGTCATTCTTGGTCATGTCATCCAGCAGCGAGGACAGAGAGTCGATCTCCAGGTCAATGCTGCTCACCTTCTCCCTAGGCTAGAGGGCCAGGAGTCAGAGCACCCATCCCTACCCATCCCTTCCCATCCCTTCCCACCCGACTCGCCGCAGGGCAGAGGGCCGGAGAAATAAGAGCAAAGATCCCCCTCCATTTTGGGGGGGGTCCTAACTCGGCGGCCCACTCTGGGCTCCGTACCTGTGGTGGGAGCTGGGTGGGGGCCTCAGGCCCCCCCTCCTCCTCCAGCGGGGGCGGTGGGGAGGGGAAGATGTCCTCCTCCAGGGGCGCAGGAGGAAACGGCTCCTCGATGGGTGGTGGCGGGGGTGGGAAGGCACCTCCCAGGGCACCCTCCGTGTCGTCGCCATCCCCGAGCACCGGAGGCGGGGGCAAGGGAAAGTCTCGGTGGAAAAGACAAAGGGGGCATCTTCACTTTCTCCCAATTCTCCTCCCGGTGCACCCTTAACCCATGACCCCGGGGTCTTTCGGGGTCATGCAAGAGAGACTGGAAAGGGAGGGCGGGTTAGGAAGGGCCGGGGCTCGGCCGAAGAGGTGCAGCTCCCGTTACACTTCGGAGAGCGGGCGCTGAGGGGACGATCCGGGGCCCACATTCCCGCCTCCCACCCCGAGGCGGGAGACTTGGAACGATCCCAGGAGCCTTGGCTCCCAGCCACGAGCTCCGCGATGAGGTAAGAACATCTGCTCGGGACAGGGTGGCTGCGCCCAGCCCCCTCCGCCACAACCTTTCCAGACAGCCCCAATGCCCGAAGCCGGGGTGCAGCCTGCAAGCCCAGCCACGTACCTTCCGGGGGCGGCGGGGGGATCTCGCCCACCCGGCCCATCTGTGCGCGCTGGGCCCCGGCTGCCGCGGGAGACTCGCTGTCCCCAAGCCGGAAAGGATTCACTTTGGGCTTTGGGGCCACCACCGGGCCGAACTTCTTCTGCGGGGCGTAGAAAGCCGGAGCGGAGACGG